GGTCGGTGGGGGCAGGAGGATGGGAGAATGTCTGGAGGTGGAAGGGACCCGTGAGGGTCAGCGAGTCCCACTCCCCGCAGGGCCGCGCAACTCCGAGTGTCATCCAGCCGCCCCCCGAACTGCGACAGCCGGTTCCTGCGGTGTCCCAGGTGGGTTTGAGAGAGGAATTTCATCCCTGTTCCCTCTTGGAGCCTGGTTCCTAGAACTTACTGTGACTCGACTCCTGTTTAAAGAGAACGGGGTTACAGTGGTTCAGCTCCTCTCAAAAGGGGGTTCTTAACTCAGACAGCCTTGTTCATGGGGGTAACTGCTATGAGAGGTAAACACAGATTAAGACATGACTGTGTCATAGACGTAACAAAAATAGAAATCAAACAAACAAACAAAAAGAGCAGCGTTCCCTGTTCTAAAAGACTCCGTACAGAATCAGAAACACTCACACAACAGCTGGGAAACGTGGACGCTTTTCAGTGCTTCACGATTCGAACATGAAGCAAAACTTTTACAGTTTTTTGTTGAAACAGCGCTAGTTTTTTTGACGATTTTCATATACCCTGTACAACTCCGTAAGACAATAAAGTGAGACGCTACAAAACAAAAAAAAGAAAGAACGCAACCCCTTGGCTCTCGGTATAAATACTATCTTGGACTGGAAAGGGAATTTTTAGCACAGGAGAAATTAAAAGTAGAATCATAGAATGGTTTGGGTGGAAAGGGACCTTTAAAGCTCACCCGGTCTGACCCCCCTGCCCCAAGCGGGGGCATCTTCAAGGAGACCGGTGTGCTCGGAGCCCCGTGCAGCCTGGCCTGGAACGGAGGGAGCCCCCATGGCCTGGCACCCCCTGCCCAGCCCGGCTGTCCCCTGGCAGACAGTGACTCGACCCCCGGCAGCGCCCCGGGACACCTCTCCCCTCGGCTGTGGGGATTTTCCTTTTTGGGGTTCCAGCCCTGTAACCATTCTTGTCTGTCCAACTGGGCTGATTAATCCTCATTTTCAATAAAAACCCAGTTCCAGGCGGGCAGCGGAGTTACTGTGGCGGGGATGGAGGGTGCAGGATTTTGGGGATTTTCATCCCCACTTTTTTGAGGGGGGGGGAGGGTGCCGACTTTGACCAGTGATTTTGACCCGAACACCGGCAGTTTGGGTCTCGCTGCCCTGGCTGTGCTGTGGAGGGCAGGGAGACCTCGGTGCTCGCAGGTTTTGTGCCAGGTCAGGGAGCCGGGAGGGAAGAGCAGCTGGGAGCACTTTATCTCTGCCCCGGCGTGGGGTGGCCCCGCTCCCCTTTGCTTCCCCTCCAGCCAAAGTCCTCTCCTGTTTCTGCTGACTTGGCCCCGGTGTGCGGAAACGGCCTCTTGCGACGCCTTCCCGTCCCCGGCAGTGTCCCGGCTCAGCTCGGCCGAGCTCTGCCTGCCTCTGCCGGGCTGCCAGCCGTGCTTTGCCGTGCCGTGCCGTGGCCCCCCCTGCCCCG